AGAACAGTATGTGTTGGGTAACTCTGTGTACCTCTGTGCCTTCATGAAGAGGTTGTGTGGGAGCTCGGTCAGATAGTTGTGCTGAAGATCAAGAACCTCTAGCTGTGATCTCTCCAGCCTCTCAGCCAGCTGACACACTCCGTTCCAGCCTGCCAGCAGTTTTCTCAAGCTCCCACTGGACAGCAGCCTACACCACAAACAATAAAGGAGGCTGAGGAGCTGTTTGTGTACACGTGTGTGTCTTGTAAATGTAAAAAAAAAAATCTGTCAATGAAAACGTCTCTGTTTAACCCTGATGAGGGCATAGAACAGTACACAAAACACTGCTGGCTGCAGTGATCTAACTTTCCACTCAGGTCCAGTAGGTTTGCGTCGTGCTGATTCGTGAACTAAAGGTGAAGAGTTTTGACCTTCAGCTGAATTATCCACTGTGGTTTAAGTAGACTGATGTGGATGGTGATGAATGCAGTTAAAAAACAAAATACATGGAGATCATGGAGATCTTTACACACAGTGAAAACACTGTAACATCCGGATAAAGGTGACTATGAAAGTCCGTGGTCCACCACCTTCTACATCTATTCTACATCTAAAGACAGCCTTCATTCCTATCGCCTTTCTTTTTTCCATCACCAGAACTTCGTTCAACACACACAGAAGTCAACATAGTAAAACCTGCCAAAATACTGTCGATTATATTTATTGGGAATACTTGACATCGGGATTCTACCCATTCTGTCAGTCAGAAGTGATTTTTAGGCTGGAGACCAACACACATTTAAGGCAGTTCACACTTCATTGAAGGAATTTACGAGGGTTAAGACTTTGGTTTAAGGGTTTGGGTTATAAATGACTTGGTTAAACTCCACCTTTCAGCTCAGACAGGCCAAGCAGCACATGTCAACATCACATGCAGGAGGACACTGATTGCAGTCCTGCAGTATAAAGCATCTCACATGTCATTATATCATAAAAGCATTTGCATAAAAAAAATGGTCAACTATTCCTGTCATGTTAGTAGTTACACCTACAGTATGTGCAGTACTTTTTCTAAGCCAATAGGGGCATGTTCTTAAAAACAAAACTTTTATTTTAACCTTCAAAAAACAAAAGATTTCTGCTTGACAAACTCCAGGCTTTACCAAAATTGCAGTCTGTAAATAATAAGATAATTCAGGGTCGTGCTAAACATTATCAAACCTGATCTCAACATAAACACTCAACATTGCACAGACCAAGAACACAGTGAAGGACAGTTGTAAAAGCCTTCAATGTAGACAAAGCATTTTTATCTTTACACTAAAAACATGAGGTTTGGCTTTAACTGTTACTAAAGTAAAGCTTTGGATTAGACTCTAATCTGAGATTTAACATGTGCTGCAAAATCTAATCCAATATTAATGAAATTTAGTTTTCATTTTGACTTTTTGTTTTCGTATCAGTCTCAAACTCCTCTGTTTCCAGCTAATGTAGAGTCCAGAGCAGTGTTTTTCTAAAAGTGTTTGTGTTTGAGTGTGTGTGAGAGGGGAGGGGGGCAGGGTTAGCAATGGGTCAATTGGGTTGAAGTAAGGATTAGAGTAAGGGCAGAGGTTAGGAATTAAGTTAAGATGGCTGTTTTTAAGGTGAGGGGCTAGGGAATGTATTTCTACGGATGTTCCCACCGCTGTGGAAAAACAAGTGGCTGCAAACACAGAATTTCTCAGCATGTGTTTCTTACTGTATGGGAAGCTCAGAAACAGAGTTATGACTAACGTCCAACACCTCCAGTTTGCTGCTGTCACACACCCAGGCGGGCACACAGCCCAGCTTGTTCCTTAAAGAAAAAACAAACCCCAGTCAGTGGACTCCTTCACAGTGTAAACAGGAAAGTCAAGTGTCCACACTGAGTCTTCATACCAGGACAAGTCCAAAACGGTCAGATTCTCTGGCGCTGGCTCAACCTCCAGCTCCGTCAATTCTACAAGCATAATATAAAAAGTCTTTATAGTTTCAGCTTCAAAGCATCATCTGTTCACTACTGTCACAGTGTCCATTACCATTATGGGCCACATGAAGGCCTTTGAGGGTGGGACCGCCCACTCGGAGAACAGATAGGTTGTTTCGGTCACAGCGGAGAACCTCCAGCCTACTGAGAGTCCTGACGTCCAGTTCCCGAAGACCAGTGTCCCTCAGGTCCAAGTGGACGATATGGTCCAGGTGCTCCGAGTCCCCCAATGTCACCTTTTGAAGTTGGTTCAATCTGTTGGAGTGGTCAAAGGTCAAACAAAGCTCCCGATGACTTTAGTCATTGTTGTTTTCATTTAAACTGCCCTAACCTCAGCCAGCTGTCAAAACAGGGAGCAAATGCCGGCGATGCCTTCACTGTTCAAGGGAAAAGTTACATTGCGGTACCCTACCCACAGCTAAACCACCATCTGTTATGTTGAAACAGTACAAATCGATGGTAGGAATGGTATGATGAATCAATATAGATGAGCTTAGCACTGCTGACACTTATTGATGAGAATGTCCTGCCATAACGCAGCAACAAAAGACTGGACTTTAGACCGTCTTCAGGACCAGGTATTTGATTTTAGAAACTCTATAATTAAACTTTAATCACCCAGGCTACATCAAATAAAATACTGAAATGTAAGCAAAAGTTTAAAAAAAAAAACAGATCAGCAATGTAAATACAGGCTGCACTCAACTTTAATAATTTATGGCATTACACAATGACTAAGACATTGGCATAAGGCAGTGATGTTGAAATCTGGAACACAGTTTTCCCGCAGCATCCAGGGAAGTGCTGTATTACAGCTGAGTGTTGTTCCAGCATTACCTCTAAAAATGTCAGCGCCTGTGAGTATATTCTTACCTCAAATCTATGTGGTGAACTGACAGCCACTGCAGTCCCACCATGTCCAGGACAGAGAGCTGGTTCCCTGCCAGACACAGTCTCTCCATGCCTTTCAGTCTCTCCAGGAGCGTCGGTATGCTGCCGAAGGAGTTGAAGGACAGGCCGAGGTAGGACAGACCCTCCAGAGAGCCCAGCTCCACGGGCAGAGTGGTCAGTGAGTTACCGTCCAGGAGAAGAGTCTGCAGACTGGACACGAGCGGGAAAAAGAGGAGTTGACAGATACAAATCACAGCACAATACAATAGTCCTGACGTCCAGTTCCCGAAGACCAGTGTCCCTCAGGTCCAAGTGGACGATATGGTCCAGGTGCTCCGAGTCCCCCAATGTCACCTTTTGAAGTTGGTTCAATCTGTTGGAGTGGTCAAAGGTCAAACAAAGCTCCCGATGACTTTAGTCATTGTTGTTTTCATTTAAACTGCCCTAACCTCAGCCAGCTGTCAAAACAGGGAGCAAATGCCGGCGATGCCTTCACTGTTCAAGGGAAAAGTTACATTGCGGTACCCTACCCACAGCTAAACCACCATCTGTTATGTTGAAACAGTACAAATCGATGGTAGGAATGGTATGATGAATCAATATAGATGAGCTTAGCACTGCTGACACTTATTGATGAGAATGTCCTGCCATAACGCAGCAACAAAAGACTGGACTTTAGACCGTCTTCAGGACCAGGTATTTGATTTTAGAAACTCTATAATTAAACTTTAATCACCCAGGCTACATCAAATAAAATACTGAAATGTAAGCAAAAGTTTAAAAAAAAAACAGATCAGCAATGTAAATACAGGCTGCACTCAACTTTAATAATTTATGGCATTACACAATGACTAAGACATTGGCATAAGGCAGTGATGTTGAAATCTGGAACACAGTTTTCCCGCAGCATCCAGGGAAGTGCTGTATTACAGCTGAGTGTTGTTCCAGCATTACCTCTAAAAATGTCAGCGCCTGTGAGTATATTCTTACCTCAAATCTATGTGGTGAACTGACAGCCACTGCAGTCCCACCATGTCCAGGACAGAGAGCTGGTTCCCTGCCAGACACAGTCTCTCCATGCCTTTCAGTCTCTCCAGGAGCGTCGGTATGCTGCCGAAGGAGTTGAAGGACAGGCCGAGGTAGGACAGACCCTCCAGAGAGCCCAGCTCCACGGGCAGAGTGGTCAGTGAGTTACCGTCCAGGAGAAGAGTCTGCAGACTGGACACGAGCGGGAAAAAGAGGAGTTGACAGATACAAATCACAGCACAATACAATACATTGCGATATACTGCAGTACTATAGGCATGATGATATACTGAGTTTTGTTTTAAACAACTGAATTGTAGTAAAACTGAAATAGTAAACTAGTGAAGAAATAAAATAAAAATAAAATGAACGAACACAATACATATTTGACTGGTAATTGCTGTAAAATATCGATAAGGTATTGACATGAAATATTGCGAAATTACAGTGTATTGACTTTTTTTTTACACCGCTAGATTTGACAGTTGTTTAAAGTAATATTTCTTAGAAGCAATATCACATTCACCCGTTCACAACGGTTGGTTTACTGACTTACTTTTAGATTATGATTACATTGTGCAGTTTTCCTGCCACACCTTGATTAAACATCATTATATGCTCCGTCAGTTGCACTGTTTATGCAATAATTTAGAGCTCTGTGACGAACGAGTAAGACATCAAGAAAAGATGAAAAGAAAATAGAAAATCCGTAAAAGTGTAGAATCTCCCAGCAGCAGAGAAACTGTTTCATTGTTTAGGTAGAGAAAATTAGGTCTATTTTCCAGCTCACTTACTTGTGCATGGTTCCTACTTCTGCAGGTAGAGATGAGAGAAGATTTCCTGATAAGTTGAGCTCACTGAGCGAGGTGATGTCACACAAGGCCAAAGGAAACTCGGACAGCGCGTTATTTGACAGACTAAGGCTTCTCAGTTTACAAAACCTAGAGAGGGTGAGAAGGACGTTGAGAAAGAGAGGAAAGGGAAAGCCGTTAATCTGTCAGTGCTATAAACATTGTTGGGCTTTTCTTTCTTTTTTTTTAAACAAAAACTAGTGTTGTGATCACTCTCTGTCAGGAGTTGCACAAGACTAAACAGTGAAAGATCCCAAAGAGGAAACTCAGTACAAACATTATTTAAAGCTGAATGTTTACACAGTTCAAGGCTGGGCTACAATAGTTCAGGTAGTAGTTTGTGTGCGTGTGTGTGCGTTGCTTTACTTCCCGGAACATGATCCAAACAACAGTGAGGTGACACACAGGTGAAAGGTGAAACCAGACCCTTGTCTTTCTCACAGCAGTGGACGGGCACATTCTTAGCTTCATAAGGAAACTGACAAAGTCAAAGTAATCAAGTCAAAGTAATTATTCTTTACTGTCCTTTCACTTCATGTACAGTACATGGATTTTAACACTATCCAATCTATCTATAAGAAATAACCAAACTCCTTTTTGTGGAGTATGAAAATGACTCAAGCGTTCAGTGTCACTGACCACTTTGACGATCTAAGAAGGAAAACAGGGCAGAAGTCCTCTGACCCAGGGGTCATATGACTGATGTCTAATCTGCACCGTAGCTTGTTTTTAATCATCAGAACCACAAAGTGGCCCACACACACATCATGTGTCATTTGATCTAAGCCGCTTCCTCAATTACACATCGGGGCAGAAAAGAGCAACCAAGGGACGTTCCCACATACACTGGGGAGAATAACAAAAAGGACAAAATGCAGCTTTCATCTGCCGGCTCCTCCTGCTGCTGTGTCCACACACAGGACTAAAGCTGCCAGTATTAAGTGTATGTGTGCTGATAACAAAAACACACCTGGTGAGTGCTGGGACACCTCTGTGTGGGGACATGAAGTTGTTTTTGAGATTGAGGTGGGTGAGGTCCTGGCTGTAGAAGAGCTGAGCAGGCAGCTCCTCCAGGCTGCAGCAGGACAGGTCGACTGAGTTCACTCTCTGTGATGCAATCTGACGCAGCAAAAGGGACGAGCAGGAAAACACAACAGGAGTGAGTAAGAGTGTTCACAAAAGACAAATGTAGATTTTGTCAAAAAAAATCTTTGTTCATACTGAAAAATCTTGACACTTTTCAAGTGACTAATGTTTAACCATTTATGTATCCCACAGCTTTTAGCTAACATTGTGACTAATATTTGGCTATTTTAACTAAATTGGTTTCAGTTCAGCCAGTAACATGTATATAAACAAGCTGGATATTTCAGTTCAAGAAACATTCAAGGTTTTCAAAAACCTGTTTGAAACAAGACTATAAACGTACCTTTGATGCCATTCTGTGCCATCGCAGATGCTCGGTGTAGGAGTCGTAGCTGATGTAGTAGGTCTGACCCTGAGGACCGGCTGAGGTGAAGGCCAGACAGTGGCTGTGCCTCTTCACCTCCTCCACCTGCAGAGCAAACAAAAAGGTTTGCCCCATATTTTGACTGAGGACTTAACTTTGTAGAGGTCGCATCTTACAATCGACTATACAGGTGTCTTGTATCTTATGGTTTCAAACCACCCACTGTACCTTGGGTTCGGACTAAACGGGAACTATGAGACAATGAAACAAAACCTGTCTCCTAGGTGTCTGAGACCTAGACTTAGACCAGCTGCACACTGAACAAAAATCCTGTTCAAGTCCCTGCTGCACCCTGACGTCAAACTGTGTTTTGTGACGCATTATTTTCTGTTTCTTTTATATCCACTCAGTGAATGCAGAGTTAATCAGACTAATTTGTATTGTGATGACAACAGCAGTCGTCACCGAACCACGTTGAAATGTTTTGAACACAGATAATAAATCACTTTCTAACCTCAGGAAAATAAAACACAAACATAGTGCATTAAATTCAGGTCAAGAACAAAATGAGCAACTTTTTTTTCAGTGTATTTAGAAAATGTTTTAATTAGTTTGCAGTAGTTCTTTCTGTACCAACAGACACCTATAATTACATCTTCTACAAGAGTTTTAAATTCCTCACACAGATTCCTGTGGTCTGGTGATAAAAACGTAGGAGATCGTAGGATCGACCTCCTAATCAGCCTGCAGCCTGCAGGACAACAATGAACAGAAAACACCAGCTTTCGTTCAATCACATGGTGTCTCCCACAGACAGCCTGAGCTGTACTGTATTGAACTGTACTGAATATCTTTAAACCCTCAGAAAAACTTGAGACCTCAGGTCATCTGTCGGCGTTGGAGGCCTGGATTTTTTTCTCAGAACTGTGCTGCTCTACAACATGCTCCAGCAGTAAGATCCACACACACACATACACACACAGCTGCAGGAGAAGGTGAACGACCTCGGCATTTCAAAGCAGAGCTGCCTTGTGCCTCGTCCAAACCACAGCAGGAACTCTGTCTCTTTAAGGCAAACAGGTTTTCGATTCACAAGAACATGAAAAAAAATTAATTCAATTTAATTAATTACCTTTCCTCCAATGAGAGGGAGGATGTGCATCTTGCCAGTGTGGGCATGTTTCACAGAAGAGACAATGAGGCAAGTTCCGCTCAGTGTGACCTGACGCCTGGACCATCGGTTCACCGGCAGTGCCAGTTTCCCTTTGCGGACATTGAACACGCCCGACAACAGGACACGGTCGGAGCCACCAACGCTGCGAGGTTTACCTGCAGGAGTATAATGGAGGAGTTAGATGGAGGTTGTTGGTGCCATCATTAAAGCACTGTGAGATTTTGTGAATCAACTCTCTCACTGGGCCTCTCTTTCACAGAGCCAGAGCAGCAGAGTGCTGCGAGGTTATGTAAGAACTGAAGCCAACAGCCTGAGGGCTGAGTGAGTGAGTGAGCAGTCACTCAGGCGTGATTTGTTACACTGCTGGAACAAAAAGCCAACACAGTTCCTGTAAAGACACAGGGCCATGGTGAGAGGCCTGAGTGTGTTTGAGGCAAACACGCAGAACTGCCTCGTGTGTTGGAATTCTGTTGAATACCGTGACATATCCATCTGACTGTGTGTTCTGCTCTTCTCCGCAAATCTGATCACATTGGCCAAAGAACAGACACATGAAGAGTCTGTGACTCTGAGAGGGTTTAAGTGGCCTAAATCAGATTAACGTGTTATGCAATGTCTTAAAACACGAGCACCTCCTTGATCCTCCCTGATGCCTCCTACTGACACAAAGCAAAGATTAGGTTTCACCAGGACAAACCAGCCCCTGAGAACAAGTAGCACAGAACCTGAACTACTACATAGACAGTCTTACATTTAACTATGTCCACAGAATGTTAGACCTCGGGGACATTGTAAAAAAAAATATGTTTTTTATTTTAATTATGAAAACATTATTATATTTTGTAAACATGCTAAAATGTTTATAAGGGCTGCTTCATTCTAATAATCAATAATAATATTCAGTAAGGAATTAGTGGTGTTGTGCATTAGAACCAGAAAATATGAACATGATTTTCAATAAACTGGAACAAATATTTAACCAAATGCTAAACAACAAAATTAGGAAATTGCATGTTTAAATATTTTACCTTAATTATTTTCTCCACAAATTGCTGTATTTTCTATAAATAAGTGACACGTATCCTCTTTTTCCACTGCCAATTATTACATATTACATACAGCTATTACTAAAGCAGCTATTTCTTGACCATTATTCCAACAAATGTAGCACTTTTTTTTCATAAAAGCAGCTCAGTACAGAGTCAGAGTGGCTGGAAACAGTGATGACTGAAAGTACATGACCAGTCGGCTCAGCAGTTCGGCTGTATGACTGTCACGCATCATTTAAAGTTAATTTCAGGAAGAAGGATCTACCCGCATGACAAATGCCTTTTTCTGAGGTCGGAACAGACCCGAGTACAAACAGGGACAGTGAGTCCTGTACAGAGACACAAACATGATGCATTGGAGCATCAGCAAAACTCAACAGAAGAAACTGAAAGATGAAATCCACATAAGTTCAAGCATATAGGGAAAAAATCCATTCATATATAATGGCAGAAATCTTACAAACGTGGAGGGGGACTGATGCTGATACTGTGACTGGATTAAATGATCAATTTCCTTATTTTAATATACAATGTAAAGTGGAATGTATTTTGAACGCGTCCACCCTTCCATGGGTGGTGCAGGAGTGAGGTAGTCGGCTATACATGGAACTCCCTTCCGTACATTCCTCCATGTGGAACATCCTGTCTCTATGCACGCAGCCAACCAACCAGGCCAAGGTCAACGGTTCTACTGCCATTTGGCTATTAGTAAGCAGGCAGACTAACCAAAGTGTCATAAAGTAGCACTTGTACTTAAATGTGGCTTGCTGACTAATACTGTAATGCCTCTGTGCCTGACCAAGAAAAGATGCTACTCCCCCATTATGGCGTGGCGATGGCAGAAAGTTTATTAGCATTTCGCATGCAAAAAGGGTAATCCCAATCAAAATAGACATGTAAATACAAGCATTAGGAGAACTCTGTTGTTCGTTTAAAGCTAATTTATTACATTTATAGACGATTGGAGATATTAGTCATCTCAAAACATCTCGATGAAGTTATGGATAAACCCTGGTAGTTTTCATGTTCTGGTTAATTGAAACAATAAGGGGATGAAGGAACATCTAACAGAAACGCATGAAAAGTTGTAGAACTACATCTGATCTACAACTGCCATTTCAAGACTTTGCCTGAGGCTACATAATTAACTTCAGTTGGACCCAAACACGACTGCTAGATCATGGTAGCATTTAGTTTTTTTCACTGTATCTGGAACAGATCTTTTTACCAAAGTTTTCACATTTCCTGTTACATTCTGTATTTGTTGACAGAAGTTGACTTGAATTCTTTTTTAACCCTTTCTTTTTTGTGTTTTTTGATAAACAACTGTGACATTTATTTTCCTAATTATTTTGAGAAAGTTGGTACTTGCACTTGCAACCTGATTTCATATTTCACAGCTGTTACTCCTAGATTTGTGCAGCTGGTTTGGTGCACATGGTTTGTTCATTCAAAGCATTAGCATTTAACCTTGTCAAGTAAAGCAGTGACCTCCGAGTGCTGCAGGTCCAGGTCCAAAACACTGAGGTGGTGAAATCTGATTTCCTCTCCGGACACTTTTCCTCTTAGTGTGTGTCTGTATGTGAGAGTGTGTGTGTACCATCTTTGTTTCACAAACATCACTGGAGTCCTCCCAACCTAAAGAGACTATGGCTAATGTTAATGTTGTCTTCATTAGTCTGTACAACTACAAAGAAACAAGACTGAGTGTCTTTGTGTTTTTAAGATGTTTCAATTGTTGTGTTTAAGAACTAGTAGTGCAAATGGGAACCCAAACCTAGTACCAATGAGGTACTTCCTACAACTCTGAAGAAGTAAGAGATTATGTTTAAAATGATTTCTTCTTGTTAGGATTAGAGAGAAGGTTCTGGTTAAGTTCTGACTAGAGTCAAATGAGGGTCATGGTAAGAAGGTGTCTGATGAAAAAAATTCTGTTATTTCAATTTAATTTTTTTAGAACCAGTAATCCTGATAGGAGACCCAATCTAATTTTATCAAGACAGAACTTAGTTTCCAAAGGTTTGAACAAGAATCATCTATGTGGGCAGGTTTGTATATGACTATATGTTTTAAAGATCAAATGTTTAATTTGTTAGTTAATGTTTCTTCAAGATAAATCTTTGAGAGAAGAAATGTGACTAAATACATCTGTAAAACGCTGTAAATATTTTAACTTCTGTTTGCTCATCTTCAAAGTCCTGCAAGTGTTTCCTGTTAAAATTCCTGGTTATCTCACTGGAGAAACATGTATTATCCATGACTTCTCAATCGTGGAGAAGCTCCACTTCCCCCTCCGTATGTACATACCAGCCTCACACACTCCCTTAGTCCAGTGCATGTTTGTTAGTGTTGGAAATGAAGTTGCTTTATGGGGCCCTGTTCTTAAAAGCACAGCTCTATGTCATGTTTTGTTCCTCAGTCACGTTACTGTGGGAGCCAGAGAGCAGAGGGAGAACAGCATTTGGGGAAGGAAAGGAATAAAATCAAGGTGTTTGTTCAACGTCTTGCCTTAAAAATTTAAAATATTACAAAAACAAATACTCAATAATTAGATTAATATTGACCTTAAACCGGTTCAAAAGAACAACGTATTGCATTGATTCAAAATGAGTCTTCTTTTATTAGCACACCAGTGAATTGTGACTGTAGGTCCCCTCTCTTTGCTGAGGGTGTAAAATAAGGTCATAAACAACACACTCTTGTGCTGATCCCATTAGAGATCCTGGCTGTTTTTTACATCCTCTTAAATTGACTAACACAAAAACATGATCCCTATCAATAACAACAACAAAAATAGAATAGCACATGAAAACAAATCTATTATGCCTGAACGCTTTTGGTCTGTGGGATGTCAAAACGATCACACCTGTCACCTCCAGATGTGTCTGCCTGCAGCACCACACACACACACACACACAGAATTGTAAGGGGAGGGGCTTACAAGCAAAACCCTGGGCATTGTCACCACAGGACAATTGTATACACTGGGTTAACAGTGCCACTGACCCAACACAATGACAGCACTCACGGTACAATGAGAATGGATGCACAATGATGAGGAGAGATGAGACAGATACAATGAAAACAGCAGGGTGTAACTAGCACCAAGGGGATTTTCAGTGCATTTTATAAACATTCCGAAGAAGACGGTTGGAAGAAACACACAGACTGTACCTGAGGCTTCGATTTTTATGTTGAAAGATTATTATGAAAATTACTCACCGAAATAGAAGCGGATCAGGCAACCTATTTCTGGGTTCATTCCCTCTTCTTGCACCCTCCAAGCATCTTCATAGCCCATAGTGTTAAGGTATTCATTCAATATCTGCAGAGGCCTCTCATCATCTCCCAGCCGTCGCACTGCTCCACCATGCAGCTGGACAAAGAGGGCTGGGGTTGGAGTGATATTGATGGGCTCTGTCCATCCCTTGCTTTCCTCTGGGATCTCAGGGTCAGACTGGACAGATGCTTGGCTGGTCAGAGGCCGCGACTGAGAGCTGCTGAAGCATTTGGCGGCAGGTTTTGTTAAATCAGGGGTATCTGTGTTAACCCCAGTGATGAGTTTAGTGTCTTCATGCTGTCCTGACACGTGGCTGGAAACACTGTTGGGAGCAGAATCACCATTTGAGTGTGTGGGAGAAGAGGCAAGATCCACTTCATCTGAGGAGCTCTCAAAGGGGTCAGGGTCTTCAGTGGCACTGTCACAGTTTGTGCTTAAAACTGAAGAGTCAGTGCCCAAACCCAGCCCATCACTGAGGGAGTCTCGGTGCTCTGTACTTCTGGGTCCACCTGGACTGAAGTCCTCACAGGTGCTGCTCTCTATGTCTGAACCTGAGTAGACCCCGTAACAGTCTGGCACACTCAAGTCCACCCCAATATCAGTCAGATATACTTCAGATGAAGAGTTGCTTGCAGTTTTATCATCCAGCAGGTTAGTAGACAGTTTAGTGTCAGGATAATACTGTTTTATGTTCTCGTCTTCTTTGTCGTTCCTGCCATCCGGACTGTTACTATCAACCGAATGTCCATTTAAGTCTTTGCAATTATCGTTTAAATCAACTGTGGCTGCACTTTTACCACTTACTCGCAGCACTGACCCTGCTTTGCTCCCCTCCAGTTTACAGGCCACCTCTGTAGCAGTGGTGTCTACAGTGCAAAGCACAGGGCGTGGGTAGGAGGGCGTGAGCCAGTCGTGGACGTGAATGCAGCCCCGCCGATGGTCCGATCGTACCCAGGTCTTATCGGAGGCCTGCAGCTGCTTTGACTGCTTCTGCCGTAGAAAAGTCCTTCTGTCCAGGCTGAGGGTACTTAGCGGCGATGCCGTGTTGGCCGCCTCGGCAGTGGAGCCGCCGGCAGAGGTGGAGCTGGTCGGAGGAGCCCCCAGCGACAAATTCCTCTTATGCCTGTGCCGCCTCTTGCCGAGCAGAGAGTTGACAGAAGTGCTGCTGCTGCTGTTTACCGATGTAAGATTATAAAGGTTGGCTGTTTTCCCCGTGGTCATGTTCATATTTTTGGCAGCGCCGCCGATGGCGTTGGCAACCTGGTTTTGATATATACCGTTCCTTATCGCGATCTGGAGAAGGGAGGTGGCCGCCAGTCCCTTCCCAAAGAGTTTCGCCTCCGCTGCGACTCCTCCGTCATCCTCCCCGATGGAGGGTCTCTTTCCAGTGGAAAGCATTGTAAATCCATCGGATTTGGCGAAGTTGCCGTCGCTGGCAGAATCCAGAGGCGGTGGCGGCGTTGAAACCGCCCCGGTCCCGTTTTCTCTTACACTTCCCATCACGTTAGCTCAGGGCGACGTCAAGACTTAATCAAAGCCCGCAGGTGAGCACTTTAGCCCCGCGTTAGCTCGGCCGTTGGTCCGTTCCTTCCTCCAGCTTAGCTTAGCATGCTATAGTGCTGCGCAGTTCGCCCAAAAGAGTTTCTCCGCTACATAATTCCGCCTGATAACACACCCGTCAACTCTCTGACGAGAGCTAACCAGCTGGTCAACGCACGAAAAGGCGGTTCTAATCCCTCTCCGTGGAAGCTTCCACGAGAAGGCGCGACTGCTACTGTTACAAACCGCAAGACAGCGACGGTCAGCGGTATACGGCGGGCAGGGCGGGGTCTCATTGGATATGAATTATGATGTGTTCACGTACGCACACTGGGCTCGAAAATGCGCCTTAGATTAGAAATGTGTTAGGGATTTTCCTAAAATATAAAATTAATGTTTCCATTTGTGCTTGGTTTATAAATTTAGCTTTAAATCGATTTTCATCACATTTTTAAAAAGAGGAACTAATATGAAGCAAAATCATTTTCAATGTTTGAATATACCGCAGATTCATAAAAACACAAGTTGTCTAATTACATCTTGTTAGACCATGCGTTTTACATCAGTTAGGCTTTACTTTAAATTAGTTTATAAAGGTCTGTGAATGCATCATCAACTGGTTACATTACTTTTTCACCAAGCGCAACAAAGCAATTCTATTTTAAAATAAAAACAATCTTGTTCATTATTGTTTCTTCTCTATTATGCTACGATTAAAGTGTATTTTGTTATTCAGCAGTGTCAAAGTTGTTGTCCCCGTAAGCACAATGTATGTCGTCGTTTGCTGCCACCCTGCGGTACAAAGAAAATACACAACAATAAATACAATCGTGTGCTTGTGTGTCCGTGTATCCCCATATAGAGTACAATAATGTGTATATATGTATATATTAAACAATATCATATTATATATAATACATACATAGTTAAAATATAAAGTGTTACAGATATTATGGATAGTATTGCCCATATATTTGACAGATGTTTGTTTAATAAATCATTTATTTAACTATGGGCTATTCATAAACCTACTATTTATAAAATACATTAAATTGAATACAGTAATACATAACAAATTAAGTGAAAATAATACACTTTCTGAGTAAAGTAATTGCAGTAGAAATAACACTTTGCTTTCAGTTTATTTATCTGCTCATATCAATTGACAGTCATTGATATAAAACATGTGACTTTGATTCTCTCAGTGTCACAAACCCTGTACTGTGTCAGGTAAAGGACTCTGGATCAGGCTTAAAACTGGATCTTAGGCTCTTACTGTGTGAATATAAAAGCTGTTGCATTGGTCTGATCCCTTATCACTTTCTTATCCACACAAACAGTCCTACAGAGGGCAAAGTGCACACTGTAACAGTATGGGCTATCATGCTCTCTCTCCCACACTCCCTCCCTTTCTCTTCCTCCTCCTTCTTTATGTCACGTCTCCACCTCATTTTTTATACCAGTCACACAGAGACTTTCACTCATCAGGCTTCACAGTGTTGTAACTTTGACCTCTTCTCACTTCATCTACAACAAAAAACAAGGTAAGAAACTTTTCTTTTAGACGTTGTGTATGTTCTTTCTTCTTAAAGCAGAGGTTGAAGGGATTACACTCTGTCTTCCTGTTGGTGCGGCATGATGAATGTGAGCAGCACAGATTGGAGCTGAGAGTTTACTTCCTTACAAGTTTGATTTTACGGTTTGTGCTATCAAGAATAAAGGAACATGTGATGGATGACGGGTCCCTGGGGATGAGGGAGGTTACAGTGCTGCCACATTGAAACACTGATCACAAGGAGACATGTTTTCACTAGGAATCAATTAGTTTTTAAGAAGCCATTTACCACCATCCAGTCTCAGAAGCCTGTGTTTCTCCAGACCGGGGAAATGATAGTTACTCTCATTACCAATGCAAATTCACAGTTTACAGAAAAGGTGCCAAATTCTTATTAGTTACAGAATGTGTCACTTCTTGGGAAAAAAATTAAATCACCGCACAGTGTTGGAGATAATTGGGGTTGTGTAAGCCAATAATTTTGCTCAAAGGAGCTAAAGGGGGCTTATTTTAGCGCTCCAAGCAGTAAAGAAAGGACGATAACATGACAGAACATTTAAGGTTGACAAGGAAAGCAGTAGCTGGCCCCAGGAGGTCGTCGTTCTCAATTCTGTTATTTTTGCACAAACACTTTCATTATGGAACGATCTGTCAGCTGCATTAACCACCACTCTTTTCTAATTCCATGATGCCAGAAGATGCTTCGCCAACAACCTG